CATCTTACATTACCACTTCATAATCAACATTAATCCATCAACAAATTCAAATTTTAATCCAAAAACTTTCCCAGCAAAATATGCTCATATTTTTCAAAACTTAAATCATGAAAATCAAACCATAGAAATGGGGATTTCTTACCTCCAACCACTTGTACAAAACCTAAAGAACAACCTCCGAACCAAGCTTCCTCAAAACTCCAATTTTTCCCTCTTGATGAATAGTGACTCGAATAGGGGAAGATGAAGAACTCTTCACACAAGCACTTTCAGCCTAAACAAAGTAGTGGAATGGATTCACAAGGCTTCCTTCGTACTTAAATTTTCATGTAAGGCAATCTAGCATTTGGTGGATTAATGAGTGAGAAAGAGAAGAAAAACAAAATAAAACCCTAACCCCCCCCCCCTTTTCACCATGGCAGTGCGGGTTTGAGAAAGAAAAGAGAGAAAATGGTGAGCGAATAGTGTCCTGTTTAAGTGACTTAAGCTTATAAGGACATGTGGCCTTTTAACGGGTATTTTCCTCACACTTAATTTCACTTAACTTGACCCGATATCAACTCAAAACTACAAACATAATTTTATTTTTCTGAGCTCATTTACATTAACTTATATTTCCTAAGGAACAGTATTTACAATTCACAGTTGGATTTCTGCACCGTTTTTGACAAAATGAATTGTAAATCATTAACTGTGCATTGTTTGTACGTAAAGTCGTAAAACTTCTAAACTTATAACTTTTGGTCTAAGCATGACTTGTTTGATATATATTGGACTTTCACATACTTTTCACATCATTTATTCACTTATGGGCTCTGCTTGTTGCTTAAACAACGGTACAAAATACCCGGCAAAAAATACTATTCACGAGATTTTCGCAGAAAGTGTCAATGTACTCAATTTTACGTTCTGAGCTCGTATTTGGCATCGAATTGCCAATTTAGGTCTCTAACGTCATTCTGTCCATTTCTGAGCTCTACCGGTTGCTGCATGTAACATCCTCGTCTCGAGCCGGTTCAATTAACATGCATATGATATAAACAGAAACAACGAAAGACTTAACTTACGAAAATACGAGCTAACTTTTTTCTTTTTTCTTTTTAAATTCTCATTCGACTTAAACGAAAATCGAATAGAGTTTCCTCTATAAATCGGACAACTGGAGATTTTCCAATCCCACTCAGAAGCATTTCCTGATAAACAGTTTAACAGCTCATCAATCCAGAAGTACCAGTCATGCAAATATAGTCAGATACCCATCCATAGGCGCATGCATAACTTGGCTCAGTGCCGCTAATCTAACAGCATGCAATCCAATACATAAACATAACTGAATACTACGTCATCATATAACGTGCCTGAATACTCAAATGTACATGCATCAAACTGACAGACATGTACAAAACATATACATGCCATATACAAAATAAAGGATCTAACATTATGATCCACAAAATACTGAAATACTAAAGGAAAGCACTATACTCCAAAATAGAAGTAGCCTACAGCTACTCAAATCCAATCCATCCAAAATCCTCAACCACGGGTCGCGTCCCTGACTAGAGAGGTCTCCCCGGGAATCTGGGCACCTGAAAATATGGCCCCAACGAGGGGTGAGATTACAAATCTCAATAAGCTCCAGGTTTATAGAGAATTCTCCATACCGCTGGCTCACTCCTGCATGAAAGTCAGATACAGAGTATACCAACACAACATATAGCAGATATCATAACAGAACAGAGTATATATCCATATCATATCGGAGGTGTGCGTCGTCATTCCCAAGAGAGGACCCCAAGCAGAAATCAACGCACGTATTTCCAAGGGAGGACCCCAAGCGGAACTAGCAAGGGCGTGCGCCGTCATTCCCAAGAGAGGACCCCAAGCGGAAATCAACGCACGTGTTCCCAAGAGAGGACCCCAAGCGGAACCAGAACATGTCAGAGGTGTACATCGTCAATCCCAGAGAAGCACCAAGAAGACATCAGTGTACCATATATCAATACAGAAATTATATCAGAGCAAATCATATCATGTTATCGAATAACTCTATACGAATGCATCTATACAAAGTATCGTATCAACAGTCATACATTCCAACCACAGTCCACTAACTATGGTGGAGCACTCGAGCAGGAAAAGACTCCTTAAACACAGAGCTTACCTCTTGAAGCTTTAACAATCAGCTTACTTGTGGCTCAAGTTACTTATATATCTTCAAGAGATTCTGATTCCTTTTTAGTCCCTAAGTACACCTAGAGCAAGAATCCACAAATACAAATTAATAAAATGCCATCATGCCTAGCTTTCACATAAGGCATACATTTTATCGCTTCTTTTCGTTTCTTTACGTTTTTGCCAATGCTATGCCAATACACAAGTCTACACCACCTTATACTTGTTAGGATTCTTTAATTTAATCAAGTGTTCACTTGAGAATTTTCAACATAATTCATGCCATTTTCTTTAAAAGGCCGTGAACCTACCCTTAGGAACTCAAGGTATTTTTCAACCTTTTTTCAAGCCATTTCACTTCTTAACTCATCAATTTTATACAATAAATTACAACACATTGCATTAAAATGAAATGTAACAAAATCTATCCCTAAGTCACCCTATAGGTCGAACTCCACAAGGACAATAGGCAAAAGGGTTCTTTTCTTTTTAATTATTCTTTCTTCACTTAGTTAGCAACTTAAACATTTATATATGTATCTAAAGGTTCCAATACAATTTTGGAACACCAAGTCCCATATAACCCTCATGGCCGAAGTGTAGGGATCAAAATACATAGGATTTTTCCGCTTAGGCCTTTTTCTATATTCCTACTTACTCCCACACAATAGACCCTTTCACTACATCACATAAAACTTTGCACAATAACCCCTATTAACCCTATCAAGGTCGAAACATAGAGGAGGGCATAGGATTTTTTTCTAATTTTTTTACATTCATATAAACACTTATTTTCATTTCCTAAATCCAAAACATCAAGGATTCATTATCAAATCAAAGTTTAAACTAATTTATTTCTCACTCAAAAGATGCTCATAAATTTCAAGACATAAATCACAAAATAAAAGCATAAGATTAGAGGTTTATTACCTCCAAAAGCTTATACAAGGTCAAGGAAGTAACCTCCAAGCAAGTCTACACCAAAAAACTCCCTTTTTCCACCTTGGATGAATAGTGCACGAAAATAGGGTGATGGATATCTCCCTGCACAAACGAAATCAGCTCAAATGGAGGGGTGGAATGGCTTCCTTGGGTGATTTCCTATGGAATTAGTATAATGGGTCAATGATTTAGTGTAGGATTCATGGAGAAATCAAGAAATGAAACAAAGCAAACCCTAACCCTTCCCATGGCTGATCCTCGGGTAGAAGAGAGAGAAGAGAGCAGTTTTTTTAATGTGAATAGTGATTTTTGTAAGTCACTTATGTTTTATAAATACTTGTGGCTTTACCGGATGTTTTTCTATCGCGTATTTTTACTTGAATTGACCCGGAACCAACTTAAAGCTACTGACATATTTTTATTTTTCTAAAATCATTTACATTACTTTTTACTTCTTACAAAACAATATTCATAATTCACAGTATGATTTTTGCACCGTTTTTGACGAAATGCACTGTGAATCACTAATTGTACTTCATTTACTTATGAAATTTAAAACTTATAAACTTATCATTTTCTTGGGCCTATATTGACTTGCTTGGCATATATTGGACTTTCTTATTCTTATTTCATCAATTATTTGTTTCTGGGCTCTACCGGTTGCTTAAACAGCAGTACAAAATACCCAGTAAAAACACTATTCACGAGATTTTCACGGAAAGTGCCAAACTATACAATTTTTCGTTCTGAACTCATATTTGTCGTCAGAATTATCAAATTATGTCTCTAAAATCATTTTGCTTATTTAAGCTCTACCAGTTAATTCACAAGACTGCGAATTCTCCGGCAGAACGCACTGTTCATAACATAGTAATGATTACAGTCAAAATACTCGAAATCGCTCACTGTATCTAATTATGGCATATAAATCCTTAAATTAAATATCTAACTAAGATTTACCAGTTAGGGTCATTATACTGCACAACAGTGCATGATACTCGGTAGAAGACACTGTTCATGACCTAGTCATAATTACAGTCAAAACACTCGAAATTACGTTCTGAATCTAGTTATGACATTTAAATCCTTAAATGAAGTCTCTAACTAAGATTTACCAGTTGAGATCATTATAATCTCTATGCTTGCGATTTATATTGTAAGAGAAAAACAAAATTATCTAACCTAAAAATGATCCAAGACTAGATAGAATAACTTATCCATATAAAGATAAGTTGAATTGGTTAAACTAATCAATAATATCTCTTATTAATTTATGAAAAAAATTGTTTAAGTTTTTATGTTACGTGATAATTTATCTATTTTGAATTTTATTTAACTTGTATAAACATGTTCTGTGTGATTACTTGTTCGCTTTGTGGCTGGTATACTTCCTTAGTGCATAAACATCCAACGCACATAGTTTTGATATCATGGTAAAGCACTATGTTACAACGCACAAACTTGCTTAATCCAAGAACTTAATACAATGGGCAATATACAATCAAATAAATATAATTTATTTTTTCTTAAAACCGCTTTTTTCATCGTTGGATTAAAATTAGAATTCAATATATTTTATTAAAATAATAGAAAGAATTAAAAAAACGAAAAATAAAATAAAATAAATGGTATTTGAAAATTAATAGTTATAAAATTATATTAAATAAAAGCTATTAATTTAATTTTAATTCAACAATAACAAAAGTGATTATCCAAGAATATTATGAATATTAACTACTTCATCTAAAATATAGAAAAAAAAAAATGAGTACATTCCTCCATGCAGTGTAGAAAAACGATCTTTAGCCACGAATATTTAACCACTCGAACACAGTCTATGGTGGGGGAATTTTTTTTCCAAAAATCTGCAACATAACCAGAAAAGCTTAACAAATCTCATCTCATTATGAATCAAGAAATTGCAACGCTAATTTATTTCCTCTATGGCTTAACTGTTTCCCTTGCACTCTTCATCTCTGTATTTTCTCTTTGTTTCCTTTCTCATGTTCATAAAACTTACTTTCTCTGTTCTTCGAAATACTCTCACCTACACATAACACATGTTTATCCTCTCTCTCACATCATCATCGCAGTTTCACCTCTTTATAGGGTTTTGATTGTGCTCAATTTTGTTCCTCCAGGTATTCTTCCAGATCTGGATCTTCTACTTGTTTTTCTTTTTGTTGCTCACTATTTTGTTGTTAACTCTTTAAATTTTCTGATTCTCGAGAAGAATAACGAGTGGAAAGCTCTGGAAGATGCGATTGAAGCTGAATATGAAGCCGTTTGATTTCGTGGTGAGACTTTGTGCATATCCTCGAACCCTAATTAGTTTGTGTTTGGGACTTAAATTCGAGTTTTGCTGCAATGAATATATGCTAGGCCGTTGAGTGGAATCTAGCTGACCATAACTTGAGCACCAAGTGTTTGAAAACTTGGCTTGTGCGTATGTGAACTCAGCTTGATTATATTTGATACTCAAATATGGGTACTCTCTGAGATTTGAATTCGAACTGCGTGTATGTTCTTTATTAAGCCTTCAATTAAATGAAATTCCAAGTTTTCATTGCTCTTCCTATTTGTAATTTGATTTTCCTTAACTGTGCAATTTTTTCAATGTTGGCAAACCCAAACGAGGTACAAGATACAATTTTGACTTACAAGAATCACAACGCTCAAAACTTTTTGCCATTGCTTTTTGCAGTAATTTCCATAATGTTTATGAATTTGGTAGATGATAGCTTAATTAGTGTCATATACTGACATACAGAAAATTTTCTTTATTCTAATTGGAGAATTCTGCAAAGTAAGTTTCCACCATCTACTATAGTTGAAATTTGGTTAGTATTACTAATGGACTAATGGTCCTTTGATTTTGCAAGCCACGAGTTGGAATAAAAGAAATTCGCTTCCTTCCATTCAATCTGACTGATAAAAGAACTACACTTACATAAATTGATGCTGCTAGTAACATGCAAAGGGTTAACAAAGGTGAATCAGAGCAGGAGGTAAAAAATCCATTATAACTTTATAGAACCTTACTGCTGGACAAATTCATATTTTTTTGGCGGAACAATTAGCCCACTATATTTTGGTATGTGGCAGGTTTATAGCAGTGCCTTGCGGTTGCTGCTCTTTGTGGTGAGTACATGTTATCCTAAATTATGTTTGTGTTATTGTGTAGCAGTTTTGACTTGGACCATCATTGCAATATGCCACAGAACATATTATTTATATGACTTAAAAGGAAGCTACTTATGAATCTAATTAATTATTCTAGTGGCCAACTGTTCTAACATATAATTGTTGCTTACAATGCTTTGAACAATTGGCCTTACAGATGATGGGCCTAATTGTGAGTGGGTCAGTTGGTTAATGATTCTAGAATATTCTGTGAGTAGAATAAAAAGAAAGGAGGTGTGGAGAGTGGGTATGCATGTATTCACTGAATGGGAATTAGGAATGGGAAAAGGATATCTAGGGATCTCTTAAGGCCTAGGTCTTTGGCTTTAAGGGTGAGTTAAGACCTTTGGTTTATCTTTTCTGCATTATTATTTCATTGTTATTATCGTCCAGTAGTTGGAGTCAGTATTACAAGTATGAAAGTCTACTAATACTCTGTTTCTCTGTCATTGCTGTTGATACTGTCACTGATATTTCAAAGGTATTACAGAAGAAATGGAGATATTTTACTGTTTAATTGTTGTTAAATATTCTGGGTTCCATCAACAGATGTCAAAAGGACAGAATTTGGAGGTAACTAAATTTTTAATTATACAATTACAACATTGTGACAGAACAAGATGGACTTTATCATTTTATTTTGTTTTTTTGTTTTCTCGAATTGCTATTAGGAGAAAACTGAAATGTTTTTATCTGCCCAGTACATTCACAGATGAGGCAAGCATGTACTATGAAATTTTGACCATGACATATATATTGTTAATTATTTATATGGTTATTGCACTTGCACAAATACACCAAATGCTTTTCTCGTGATTAGTCTTGAGCACTTGTTGAATTATGAAGAAATTTAATTTACTGTCACTTTATAAAATAATTTTACAGTCTTTTGCATAAGCTTCTCAGCTCTTGGATGTGTAAGCTTCCTTTTAGCTAGGTTTTATTGATGCCTTGCACCATTGTCAATACTAAGCTTCTTTCGGGTAACTGAATTGCTTGTATGTGTCATGTTGTTTTCTTTTCACAAATTTGATTAATATAATAACATTCATTTTCTCTTTCAACTTAGAGGTTGGAATTGGTGCTCACGGCATAAAATTTCTTGTCAGCGGATGAAAATTTCTTCACCTTTTTTGTGGACCAAACAAAAAGTGCAACCACTTAATTGGAATCTCATAAAGGTCACAAGGGATAGTGTGTAACAGTGACCAAAGTGACAAATTTTTTACCCAAATGTCATGCGAGCAGTACTTTTTAATAGACTGTCACGTGTCATAGTTCGTTACCACTAGTAGTGAGTTTCGTGGCCAATGATTTCGTGACATGTGGTCATATTGCGTGCCAAATTCGCTACTGCTGATAGCGAACTTAGTTCGGTCAGCTTTTTCTTGTGAAAATATGTCACGTGTCACAAAATTATTGGCGAACGTAGTTTGCTATCAGTCGTAGGGAATTATGTCATGTGGCAGTCTAGTAAAAATAATTTGTTCACGTGATATTTAAATAAAAATTTCGCCAAAAAATGACATTTTGGTCGATGTTCCGGATAGTGCAAAGCAATAGTGACGAGCCCCTAATAGATGTATTTGGCGTTGTCTTCTAATGCCTTAAAGCACCATCATTTCTTTAATATATCTTCTAGTGAAAAATAACCTTTGTATTTGTTTAAAACAAAAAATAGCATTGACACGATGAAGCTCATATTAATCAGAATAACTGCATAACAAAAGTTTGATCCTTTTAAGTGCAACTAGCCATAGTGATATATTCCTTATTAGCTATATTGTAAAAAGAGTTAATCAAAGTCAGAAACTTGACCCCACGGATTCAACTAAATTAGATTGTAAGTAGTTTTTTTTTTTTTCTGCCACATGTCTCAATTGCCAAATTCAGTGATTACTTCGGTGCAATACTTGCTAATGTATGGATACGGTGCCATTAACCTTATTCAATCGCACTACATTGTTGAAGGAACAAGTACTTGTAGAACAACTTAGGAAGTCCAGGTACATGGCACCACTTGTTATTTTCATCTCTTTTTAATTCTGCAAAAAAATGGGAGTAAAAAGAATAGAGACAAAATGCATAGATAGTTTGGCATTAAAGCTATTTTATTATTTACATATGTCATAAACTGTCTGTCTGACTGAAAAGGCATTAAAACTTGTACGGTCACCTAGCAAAATACTAACTAGTAGAAAAGTAGTATTTTTGGCAATTTTATTACCATCAAAACCAAAACTTCTATGAATAAATTTAATAGGTTAATTTGCATTTTACGTCAACCATTCTTTCTACATGGTTTTAGAAAGTAATGGGTTTTACTTTAATGGAATAAAATTTTAAATACACCTGTTATGGACCTGGAATAAAATTTCTATAAGTGTGTAGTGATTCGCTGTTCTCAAGATACCTAATTCATAGGTATCTAAAGAGAAAGCTACAGATCCAATATCAAACACCCGACCTACGGTCAGACACATCTGCACAAGGCAGAACAACACCCTTCATTTTGTAATTGAGAATAAGCTTTCCAAATATATCCGCAGGAGCTAAAGGCCATGCTGAAGAATGAAGCTCTCCGCAAAAAAGTAAGAAGCAAACCAAACTCAAAATTAGTAAGTCTGTCAAATTAACTTTTCATATCCAGCAACAATTTATCTTCTTGCTTATCATTAATCTTTAACTGTAAATAAGCTTGAGGAGACAGAAAAAAAAAGAAAGAAAAAAAGACACAATTCCTTGAATATAATTCTTTGGATAGGACAATTTCCATCAACGGTTCAAAACCCCATCTCCATTGTGCTTCAGAGGACAATGAGCTTTCAGATAATTCCTTGCAGTTAGGGTATATTTCACAACTCCCTTTTCCCCGGGCATGTTTTCGTTGAAACCTATGCTTTCAACCGTTATAATTATTTCACGATGTATGCCAGAAGTTGGGGTGCCCAGTCCTGCCATTAATAATTTTTTCCTTACATGTCTTTTTTGTTTTTTAGCAGATAGCCAAAAATATGGGGTGTCTTCTATATTTGACGATTGTGCATTGTAAATCCATAAAAGCATAAATCCCAATTTGTGTTCATTGGTCTGATATTCCCAACAAAAGCATCAACTTCAAACCAACTCACTAGGTTGGATCAATGGCTACACATAACTTTCAACTCTTAGGGTCACTAGCAATCGTCACACACATGGCTGACTTACCTTAAACATTACCTTATTACAAGAATGTTACAATCTTTGAAATAAAAGTATCCCTCCCTCACAACACACACAGATACACATATATGTATAACCAACTCACTAGGTTGGATCAATGACTAAACATAATACAACTCTTAAGAATATTACAATCTTTGAAATAAAACACACACACACACACACTCACACATATAACATACAAAATGTGTCTAAAAATCATCAGTTTCAGTCTTTGCATCACTATGAAGGGTGTAGAATTTGTTGCCCTTGGAGTAAATCACAAATGGTATGTCCTTCAATATCCCATGGTCCTTTCCTTCTGTTGAGTCCGTAGGCATTTCATAGAATCGAAGATGTTGGAGAGCCTGTAGGTTTTGGATATCATGGGGAACCTCCACCATATGAGGGCACGGCCCAATGGTTAGCTTTTGAAGAATAGGCAATGCTCCCTTATGAATTTTCAAGGTCTTCAAGGCTTGCATCTTTTCTAGGCTTAATACCTTCAACTTTTTGAACCACCCGTCTCCAAAACACAACTCAACACCTTCAAATGCACTGTAAAGCTCAAGCTCCATTAACTCTGTCAAGTCTTTGAGCATTGGTAGTGGATCTTCCGTTAGTCCTGACCAATTCAAGAATAACCTTACCAGAACATGAAGTTTTGGAATCCAAAGAGGCACTGTTTCCAATCGGCCATACAAATACAGGCGTTGGAGATGTTGGTGAGGAGGATTAACCAATGAATGCAGGTCAAGAATCTCATTCTCTTCTGCTGCTGCAATGCTCAGTGCCTGAAGACGCATCATGCCTTCAATTGCACTACATAATGGTTTTCCATTGTGTCTTCTTAGCTTGATAATGCCAAATTCCCTCAACTGCTTCAAATTTTTCACTTCCTTGATTAGGCTATCCCCATTAGTCATATCAACCTTCAAAAGTATCTGCAGGGCCTTTAGACGCCCAATCCCTTCCTTTATCACAACTCCTTGCATGGATGCTGTACTGAAATCGATTTCCTCGTTGCCAGAATAAGCTACAAGATGGTGCAGCTTGGTGAGTTTGTTAACCTCTATAGGTAATTCACGCACTTGAGTATATTTCAGGTCCAGTGTCAGTAGGTTCTGAAGCTTGCCAATGAACTTTGGAAGATTCTTGATTCTAGTATTCCTTAAGTTCAAATACTTCAAATGCAACAAGTTTCCAACCGGTTCAGGAAGATCTTCGAGAGGGGAATCTTCAAAGTCTAATCCAACCAAGAGCTTGAAATTGGAGAGGAATGATTTCAACATAGGCCTTGGGAGCTCCTCCAAGTTAAAAGCAAAACAAAAGCGCACTCGGTCATGATTTGCTGCAACAGCTCTTGCGAGAACAGCATCTTCTCCGCTACCTTGAAATTGGATTGACAATCGTCGAGTTGTTGAATTGAATGCGAAGTTTTCACTTTTTATCACTTGGCAAAAGTCCAACTCCACACACTTGTCCGCAATAAAGTCATGCAACAGATCATGCACCCTAAGTCTTCTGGCCCCGCCATAAATAGACTTAGAGGACACTGTAACTAAACTCCTACGTATCAATTCATCCAAGTATTCTTCTGCAACTTCCTCTTGGGTTCGGTTTTCATTCTCTTTTACATTCACCAATCCTTCTGCTATCCATAGACGTATAAGTCTCTTGGAGCTAATGGAGTAGTCATCAGGGAAAACGCCAAAATACAAGAGGCATGGTTTTAGGTGGAAAGGGAGATCATTGTAACTTTCTGATAAGGCTCGATGGAAGCTTTTGAGATGAGGATCACTAGCTAGTTTTGAACCAAAACTATCATGAACCTTCATCCATTCAGAAAAGTTGTTGTTTTTTGTGGAAAGGAGGCTAGCAATGGCCACAATTGCGAGTGGCACTCCATCACACTTCTTCAAGATGTCTTCTGACAATTTCATCAACTCTGTTGAACACCCTTCTGGCTTGAGCTGATGAAATGCCTTCAGATTGAACAGATCCATAGCGTCCCTTGGACATAGACGCTGCAACTCGTGGATATGAACATGTGCAGAACGTTTGCAAAACTCAGCAACACCCTTGTGTCTTGTTGTGATCATTACCCTACTCCTTTTGTTGTTCTCTGGTAATGCATATTCCACACGCCCCCAAAAATCTTCTTCCCAAACATCGTCAAATACAATCATGTAGCTATTTTCTTGCAAGTGTTCTCTCACTTTTCTTTTCAGGGTGACCTTGTTCATTTGTTCAATCAACTTGGTCTGACAGTCATCGTCTTCGTCCTTATCATAAAAGCTCTGCAACATTGACCTCAGTATCTTTTTCTCCTTGAATGTGCTTGACACACACACCCATGCGCCACAAGTGAACCTCTTATGCTTCTGCTTCTCAAATAGTTTCTTTGCAATTGTTGTTTTACCTTCGTACACATGTTAAGGAATTATAAGAATTTCAATAAATTGCACTTGAAGCAACAATTAAATAATTTAGTGTCCATTTGATTGTGTTTTTTTTTTTAAAAAAAAAAAACTGTTTTGTATAGAATAGATACGGAAATTTTTGTTTTTTGTTTTAAAATTTAGAAGTTAAAATATAACAAAAAAAACCAGCCATGTTCTCTAAATTTGATTCTAAAAATAAAAAAATAGTTGTAATTTTTAACTTTTTTTACAAAACATGTCTTATCAAATAAGTTTTTTTGTTATTTTATTCTGAAACCAAAAAAACTGTTTTTAAAAATAGTATTCAAAGAAGGCTTTAATTTTTTGTTTCAATATTAAAATAGTTTTCTTTATATATACTAATTCTAATTGTCTCTTTGAGACAAGTTGTCCTCGATATCCCTACAAGCTTCAACTCCTTAAGTCGTCTATAAGACTAATTCGAAGTTGGCTTAGTCACAATTTTAACATTATTTTAGCCATGCTTTGATTTTCAAGATAAAGTTTACTTTTTAATAAATTATTATATAAATTGAAAAATCATAAAGAGAAAATATATATATATATATATATATA